CCCCAAAACCCCAAAACCCCAAAACCCCAAAACCCCTAATAGAAGATTTAGTATTGACTATGTAATTGTGATTAAATATGGAAAATGTAGAGTTGACGTTAACAGATACTAATTTCCTTCATTATTTTAATGAAGGAGTTAATTTAAATATTCAGGGTTTCATCATTGATACCAAATGTATCAACATCAAAGTTTCTGTTGATAAATTTGTACTTATTGTTATACTGATTTCAGTTATTCTCAATTCTGAGTGCCTTTTTCAGGTCAATTTTCTCTAGAGGATCTGCATAGTTATGACAAGGTCTATACAGATTCATCATGTTTGAGAATGGCTGCCTCTCCAAAGGAAGAGGCTCCATTAATTTTTCTTCTGGTTCATGAATTTCATGAAGAGGAGCAGACACTGATCTTACTAGCTCGTTCTCTCTGAGGATAGAGTCATCATCTGAATCTGACTCGATATCTAGTAAAGCATATGGCCGATATGGATAGATCTCAATGCCTGGATAATAGTTCTCTTGTCCGTGGCCATGATTGCATGTACAAAGGAAGTCACCTTTTGCTTTCTTTGGGTCCTTTTGTCTTCTCTCCAGAGTAGCATCTTGGAACAGTAATCTTTGAGAATTTTTAGAGGCAAAACTTTGATGCGTTTTGTTGGTAAATCTTGAGTACAGAGACATCTTCTCAAGAGTAAAACTGTTAGGAGTTGCAGAATTGCTAAAAGAGGGCACTTCAAGAAAATCTTTGCCCACACTGCTCCTCCCAAAAGGATTTGTTATTCCAATGGGCTTGCTATATGGATTTCCAGAGCTAGCAAGATGATCTGGTCTTTTAACTGGCAAAGAACAGTCGAGATTGTCAACACTGATAGAGCTGTACTTTCTAACTGGCTTTGGCTCTTTGTTCTCTTCTTCCTCATCAAAAGAGTACTCTGAGTATGCATTATTGAAGAGTTCCATAATGTTGAAATCTTTTTGGTCAAGGAATAATCCTTTCTCTCTGAGAGCCTTGTGAACGTTCCTCTCAGCAATTTTGAGTTTATAGTAATCCTCGCTTATGCACTTGAACATACTTGAGCTTTGTTTTAATTCAGTCAAACTGACTGCTTGAAGGTTAGCATAAAGGCTTTTGTAATTTCTCTTTCCTGGAAGCTTGAGATGAATGTTATTTCCTTGCCTTATTAAAGCTCTTACTCTCTATATATAATGTTAGGTTAGAACCGTCGTTATTACAGGTATTGATAAGAGGAAGGATTTTAGGAAAACTGTCTACTTACTCTCTTTTGAGATCCTCTTCTTCTTGAGAATTTTTTGTACTTGCTTCGGATAGTAATCCCACAATTCGTCAGTTTGAGAAGAGTCCGTTTTCTTTGATCCGCTTTCGGATGGCTCTCTTTGGTCATATAGATGCTGAATAAGATCTTCTTTTGATTCTTCGCTTTCTTCAGAGATATTTGTAGTTCTTTGATGAGTAAGAGAAGTGTTTTGCATGGCCAGAGATTCATGATTGTTAAATTTTTCTTCCTTATTGGGTAATACTGGGTCCCTTGCTTCTAGAACACCCCTAGAGTGTGTATCTTGGCTCTGATTATCAGATGAGTTCTTCATTTTTCTAGTTCTACATTGTCTAATTTTATTTCTGCCAGCCATCTTGATTTTGATTTTATTTAAAGCTAAATTAACAAAAATTATTACGCAAATCTAATATTTAACGGAAAAACAAGCCTCAACGTCCCACATTAAAGTCGGGGTTTTGGGGTTTTGGGGTTTTGGGGTTTTGGGGTTTTGGGGTTTTGGGGTTTTGGGGTTTTGGGG